CTGACCTGACCTTGACCTGAGGTCAACACCCCAAGTTGACCTGACCCGGACAAAAAGTATATCATTCGACGCGCCTGAGCGAGACGAACACGATGCTGCCAAAATCGGCGCTCTGCGGCCGTTTTTTGCGAAGTTATTCACCAAAAACTGAACCGTACCTTGGGGCACTTGACCTGACCTCAGAGGTCACCGGTTGACCTAGGACCTTAAAATCGGGTACCAATCTCTGCGTCTCGTAACGGCGCACACGCTCGTTTTTTCCGCGACGCGCCAGCTCCACCAGGGGCGAAACGGCGAGGGGGGGTCGTACCCGCCCCCCCCCCCTCGGCCGGCGCGTATGTAGAAAACCAATAGGTCCGGCGAGGGTTAAGGGCGACTTTCCCTTACATAATATGCGTCCTTATGGAAATCGGTAGTGTGGCGATAAGCGACGCGCGCGACATCTGTGGGGCGACTGTGGCGACACCTGGTGGCTGCTTTTCTGCTGTATGTAGGTATTGGGGTTTTGCCAGATATGGTTCCTACTGCTACACCACTATGTTGACCAAATACTAGAAAGTTATTTCGCCCGTAAATGGCAAGAAAATTAAAAGTATATTTGTTAAATTGCTTATAAATGATTACGAGATAATAATGAAGAAGTTTTGATTGATTAATTAATTATTTAAATATTCAACCGTGAAACTATATTCTGGTAGGTTTAGTAGAAATTAGTCCGTGCAACCTTGTATTTAGGGCCTTGGGGTGGAACATCTTAATGTGTTGCACGATGGCAGCTTTGTCGATCTTGAGAGCCGACCCGTGACGTCCCCTGCCATCTCCGGTGGGGCAGACGTCATCTTCACGTATGCACGCCAAGACAGCATCTCCGTTGTTCTGTGCGAATCCGAGTGTTGTTAGGAAAAATCCCTTGCAGACGTTGACAATCTTAAAGGGACTGTCCCACCTTTTCATTAGTTCTGAGTTGAGATAGCCAAGTTAGCGGCCAGGTTCAGAAACCACTATATATCCTGGTCGCAATATCCTCAGTTTCGTGGTGTTAAAGAAATTCGTTCCCTTCATTTGAAAAGTGGGCCTTAGCTAAGGCCCTATCTCTTAACTATTAACGGCCATTTGATGACGTCATTACTCATTTGCCTTTTGAACGCCTGTCACACATTCAAGTGAAGTATCACTTGATTTACGAATAAGCCAATCAGAGACACTCTTGTTATTGTATGAGCCGCGTCATATTTGAGAGCAAATATATTTGCTGCCAAATTTCCCCTCACATTGGCATGAAGTAAATCCTTCATTACGTCACAGATTCGATATAAATGACGTCACGATGAAATGAAAGTCGCAATATCTCAAAAAGTATACGATGAAAACGCGTAAAAACTTGCAGAATTCGTCAAAATATCATGAGTACCATTTCCGAACCCTAAACGGTACTTTTTTGAAGGTGGGATAGTCCCTTTAACGTCGTCCAGCACGGGTAGGGTCCAAGTCTACGTCATGTGCTTCCTGTGGGAAGCAGCACCGCTCTGGTCTTACTTCCTGCGACTTTCGAGCTGGATTTCTTTTTTTCCAACATAGGTTCGGTACCACTGCCGCCGCGCTGAATAACCGAGCCTGTTGACCTCGTTGATGAGATGACGTTGGTCCGGACTGAAGTGTTTGATGCACTGCTTCTGGCACCCAGCCGCGCAAGCTTCAGGGGGTGGTCTGGTGGTGTGCTTCTGAGCGAAGTTGTTGATCTTTTCAGCTTCGATGCGGGCCCGTTTCTTTTTAGCTGGTATCGTTGGAGTCAGGGGGTGTCGAAGTCTAGTAGGAAAATCTGGCAAATTCCCTGCGTGACGTCACGTCGGGGATGACTGACGGCACCTTGCACTGAAAGACACGGCAGAACGGCTATTTTTGAAAAATGATTAAAAATACTTTTGTGCTGTTATGACGCATAAAACGCTTATCAGCATGTTCCTCATCATGTGATAAAGGCATATCCGTGGTCGAAAATAGCTGAGCCCCTCCCAATTTCCAACCACCGACCTCATAAGCAAAGGATGTAAGCGTAATCCTTAAGGGCGACTTTCCTATACATATCCGTACATATGCGTCCTTATGGAAATCGGTAGTGTGGCGATTGGTGACGCGCGCGACATCTGTGTGGCGACCAATTGGCGACTGGCGACACCTGGTGGCTGCTTTTCTGCTGTATGTAGGCATTGGGGTTTTGCCAGATGTGGTTCCTACTGCTACACCACTATGTTGACCCAATACTAGAAAAGTTATTTTGCTAGTAAAAGGCAAGCAAATTGAAAGTTGATTTATAAAATTGCTTATAAATGATTACGAGATAATAATAAAGAAATTTTGATTGAATAATTATTTAAATAATCAACCGTGAAACTATATTCTGGTAGGTTTAGTAGAAATAAGTCCGTGCAACCTTGTATTTAGGGCCTTGGTTGGAGTGTTCGTGACAGGTCTTATTCGTTCTAAAGGACCCTTTGTTTACTGTACAAGGTCCCTCGTTGGGCTAAAGGGGTCCTCTGATAGTCCTCAAAGGGTCCCTAAAAGAGTAACTAATACTTTTCAGTATGTAAAAAGCATAGGGCGACTATGATTTTCAGAAGGGCGCTGGAGGCTCTAGAGGGGCGCCGTCGACCTTGGATGGGGCGACTGTAGTTTTCATTCAAGTGGGCGCTGGTGGCTCTTGATGGGCTCCATCGAATCATCGATCTTGGGGACTCGGAATATTCTGGTCTCCGGAGGGGCGCCTTTGAACCTGGGGGGGGGGGGGGCCTGGAGAACATTGTCTGTTGAGTGTTATAGCTAGTGATGTCAATTTCAGAAAACATATGTCCAATGTCTGTCCAATGTCCAATACTTACGTCAACCGTCCGTCCAAAAAAGTCCAAGCCAGCCATTTGTCCAAAGATGTCCGACATCTACGCAATAGTATACACTCAACACCGTTATTTAATTTGCTTTTAATGTATCGTTACCAGCTCAAAAGTGGTAATCATATCGAAAGCTGAGCTTTCTAATAGCCAATCAATGTTAAACACGATTACTTTATAAAAATGTTGAGGTGTAGCAAGCGATTGTCCAAGGTTGTCCAAAGCCTGCTGTCATTGTCCAACCGAATTCCAAATTGGACATTGGACAAAATCGGAATTCCGAAGATTCAGGTTCCGATTGACACCACTAGTTATAGCAGGATATGCGCAAGCGGAAAAAAAAACAGCCAGGGATCACAGCAGGTTAAATGAGTTTGAAGAAAAATGGAAAGCATTGTTAGGCGGAAGTGGCAACGTGACATTTTAGTGATGGCAATTGGCGGCTCGACTCCGAGCTTCGTTCGCCGCTCATGAGGGTAATGCGCCTCGTCTCGCCGAGTGCATGTTTGTCAGTTAGCGGGGGATTGCGGGCCGAATTGTAATGCTGTTATGCCGTGTGATTGTCATGGTTAGTGTAATAAATCTCAACTGGAAAAAGAAAAAAAAAACAGCCACAGGTATAAATCAGGTTATATCAATGTGCCCACATTGCATACATGTTTCCATGTTTCATTTACGCATTTGTTTTTATGTGCACTGACGACTCGCATTAGAAATCGCTTGCCTTTTCGCTTGCCGCCCCCTTCCCCCAGTAGTGATATTTTGCCCTGACTGGGGGGGGGGGGGGGCAGGCCGGTGACTGCGGGGATTTGGCCCCCCAGTTAACATGTTAGACGAGGCCCTGCCCGCCCCCCCCCCCCAAGTCTGGATCCGCCAGTGGAGCCGACTGGATCTCGGCCGTCCGCTAGTGACGTCACGGCCCCTCCGGAGAGGTCAGGTCGGGTCATGGTGCGCCGGTGCCGGAAGGCGTTGCTCTTAAGGGCAACTGCAGGTTTTACATGTTTGAGTTGAGCAAGAATGTGAGTTACCGTTATTTGACATTTCATTTCAAGCGACGGCCCTGGGCGTAAGAACAATCTTTTCCATCAGATACTGCCTTTCCAATGACGGTGTCATTTTCCTAAGCAGAGTGTGAACAAATCGTCCTACGATCAAGTGTCAGATTACCTCATTCTCAAAGGCTCACCCTGTATGTTATGCCTGCAAAGGTTCGTTTCGGGTTAGGTTCGTGTGGGATAAGGTTTGTAAATTGTAGAAGAGTCGTATCAGATCAGATTCTTACTCATGCCTGGTCTTGGTTCGTGGGAGATAAAGTTCGTATACAAGATGTTCTCATGCAGACGTTCGTATCAGGTACTGTTTGTACGGGATTCTGTTGTAACAGTTCCGGAGTAGGGGTAGAGGAAGCTTAGTCGACTTCTATCTCTACTCCTGACTCGTCGCGACTCCCGACTCCGAAACGCTTGACTCATGTCAACTCACCGTCCTGTGACCTCATCAACAACCTCATGCATGCGTAGCCGCTGTAAATTAGTGCAAAGCATTGCAAAAATAGCCTTCCTCAATTGCATTGCTGTATATCCCCTCGATTTTGTTTGTACCGAGAAGTGGCCGGTTATGGGCTCCCTGTTCTCCATGTGGCGTGCAGAGACCGTGGGACGGTATCCCGAGCGACCGGTCAACATGACGTGTACCGGCGAAGGGCTCAGCGCGGTGGCACACTCCGATGAGAATCCTGGAGTGAGAGGTTAACGGCAGGTAAGCAGGCGCACACCATCTACACACCTTCGTTTCCGAGCTCATGAAATTGATATAGACCCCTTCCATCAATGAATTTAACATGAAAGATGGTGATCACTTCACATTCCTTTTAACTCATCCTTTATGATTTTGAATGCAATGAAACTACGATCTTTGCCAGCCACAGTCCATAACGTTACAAAGGATACTGAAGAGACAACTGAAGTCTGCATTCGGACCAGTGTTCGCCATATGGGCCGGGCCAGTCCAATGGGCGATGGGCTGGGCTGGCCTACGGGCCGGGCTGGGCTGGGCTGGGTCCTCAAATATGAAGGATCGATGGGCTGTGGATGGGCTGGGCCAAGCACTGTAAAGTGGAGTCAGGGGTTCGCGACTGAGACAAAATCCATAACTTCATAGCGTATTACTGTGCAAGACTCAAAAACGAGTCAATAAAGTACGCAAGTAATGTGCATTGTGCACGCCGCTCGCAAAAGATTGTTAGTCTTTGCTCCCTTTGGATACCTGTATGGTGTCAATAATTTTTAATCCATTCATTTTTTGTTTGGCTGGGCTATGACGCTTTTACCATGAATGGGCTCGGCCTGGGCCGGGCTGTGGACCCATGGGCCTGGGCTGGGCTGGACTGGGCTTTTGCGGCCCGTGGCCAACACTGATTCGGACGGGAGGTTTCCTCATTAACCGGCGTTGCTTATATAAATTGATTTTTTTATTAGTTATCAGTCATGCAGCATAATCAACATCAATCAACGTGATCAATGTTGTCAACATAATCAGAGCAGTGCACTGAGCAGCTTACATTTTACCATCACCGATTGCGGCGTGAATAAACACGCATAATGCGCAAAATATAATTCAGCAAAATAAATATGCCAGTGTGACATCTGCTGTCGTTAAGGTAAGAAGGGACAAGCCGATTTTTATTGACATTACTTCATGATTGAACAATAAAAAGGCAACTATCGCTTTGGCATTTTCATTGTCTGAATATTTACAATAGACATGTCTTGGTGAACTGTTGTAGCTACACAAGAGTGAATAGCATGCCTACCTTTACTAAAAGTAAGCGCCGCAACGGTACCTACTTATCTGGTTGGCTGGGTACTGTGCAGTGCCGGCTGTTCTGCCATTCCAGGGGTTCTGGCATCTCACGTGTGGGCGATGCCGCTACCGTGTCGGCTGCTGCTTCTGCTCTGCGGCTGTCTGTGCCAGTCTCCAGCCGCCGCCAGACGGTTCGAGCTGCTCACCGACCAGGCCATCATCAACGGCTCTATGATGACGGTGGCGCCGCCGGTGACGGTGACGCAGTGCGCCGCGCTGTGCAGCAGGCTCTCCGGCTGCGGCGGCTTTAACCGCAGCCCGACCGCCGGCTGCGTGACGCTGCTCCGCGACAGCCTGCGCTTCTCGTACCGGCGCGAGGAGCCGGGCACCGTGTCCGGCACGGTGCCGGCCTTCTCGTGCCACCAGCGGCTGCTGCTGAATCGCGAGGCACCCAGCGGAGTGCAGCGGCCGTTCGGCTGGCCGGTGCCCGTCTACTGCGACCAGGAGCTGGACGGCGGCGGCTGGACGCTGCTGGTGACCGCCGCCACCGCCGGCTGGACAGACGTCCAGGTGATGGTCCGCAACGAGGAACAGCCCAGCCTCAGCGCTGACTACTCGGCGCTGCGGCGCGCCAACCGCCTGCTGAACCACGCCCGAGGCGGCGACATCTTCTACAGGTCAGTGCTCAGTGGGTGACTTTAGTACAGGTCAGCGCTTATTAGTGAGTTTCAGTACAGTTTAGTGCTCAGTTTCCGTGAAAACAATTTAACCCGAAGCCGGCGAGTAAACCGGTGCTTTGCTTGTACCCCTATCCGCAACCATTTTTACCACCCTCCCAGAGTAATGTTATGTAAGATCCCATTGCAGAATTAGTCGTGCCCGCTCTCAGCGGACATACCAGCGAACATGTCCGCTGAGAGCGGTTGCGATAATACCCTGCAATGGAACCTAACTACCCCTGAGACGTCGTTAACAATGGTTGCGGCTAGGGGTACAACGTGAGACGCCGATTTACTCGCCGGCATCGGGTTAAATTGTTTTCACTACAAATACCGGGATTTTGACGGTTCACCCTTCTTACTACACATGCGATTTCTTTCACTTGTATACCTTCTCTCTCTCTCTCTCTCTCTCTCTCTCTCTCTCTCTCTCTCTCTCTCTCTCTCTCTCTCTCTCTCTCTCTCTCTCTCTCTCTCTCTCTCTCTCTCTCTCTCTCCCTCCCTTTCTTCATCTCCCCTCTCCCTTCCTTCTCTCTTTCTCTCTCTCGTGTATTTTTGCACTAATTGTTATGATTAATTTGCACCATTGTGTGTCTGAGCAGACTGGAGGCGCAGGCTCAGACAGGCAGACGGCAGTGGGGTGGCATCTTCACCACACCGCAGCTCGAGTCCCTCATACTGCAAGGAAGTGGTCCCGGATGGAGTCTGGTCGAACAATTCGGAACATGGAATTTTAACGACCGTTCGATTGGCAACGAGGTTGCGTATATCGATCAGGAGTCCTCATTGAGCGGGATGCTCCTGAGAACCTCGAATCGTGACGAGTTCGGCACCATCGTTTCCGCTGTCGGCGCTCCACACGAAGGTCAATTCCTGCACAGTCCCTGGATCGAAGGAGAAATGCCCGACTCCGGTACTGTTCTCTACTGGGTCCGCGAAAACTAGTCGCCCTGGCTGGTAAACTGGCCACTGGCTCAGTGACTGGTTAAATAGCCGCTTTACTAGACGCGTATGCAGCTGAGGCTTCGTTGACGGTCGGAAGGCGCATTTTACCCGTGGGCCGTGGCATTTAAGCACTCAGCTCAGCGTGCATGCAAGGACCATTTAGATGGTCCTGTGACTCTCAGCTAACACCAACGTTCCAGTTACAGTTTTCCGAAGTTAAGCCGCACTGGTACAGTGAACCGTTTTTGTAAACTTAGTACAGTTTGATCTGTTGCCTGCGAGCATCGACGAATTGTTTTGTTTTTCGAATCGATGAATCGCCGGACCGCTTGTGCATGACCCGTAGCAATGAAGCTTGGTATCACCGTCTGAACATAACTGTATAGGCCATTATTTACTCAGCATCTACATGCCGTCATTATGTTCACTCAAAAACGCTGTGCATGCTATGTGGTGTTAAAATACTGAACTTTTGCTCAAACTAATTGGTGTGGAACACGTGACTATTGGTTATAAAGTAAAAAGTTAAGTTGGGAACTTTACTTTTGACGCACAATATACCGCACATAACTCGTTATTGGGGGTGATTTGTGACTCGCTTGTGAGTGTGGATCCCAACGTGGAATGGCATATTCTGAGCTTGTTTATCATCGCTCGTCTCAGCAACGTCGGTAACGGGGTAGAAGGAAGGTTATAGAACTGGTAGAAGGTTCTGATCGGGTGATCAAAGTCAAGGGTGCTGTCGATACAAAATACTGGATTTCAGACATTAAAGTTGAGTTTAACCCTCGCCGGACCTATTGGTTTTCTACATACGCGCCGGCCGAGGGGGGGGGGGGCGGGTACGACCCCCCCCTCGCCGTTTCGCCCCTGGTGGAGCTAGCGCGTCGCGGAAAAAAACGAGCGTGTGCGCCGTTACGAGACGCAGAGATTGGTACCCGATTTTAAGGTCCTAGGTCAACCGGTGACCTCTGAGGTCAGGTCAAGTGCCCCAAGGTACGGTTCAGTTTTTGGTGAATAACTTCGCAAAAAACGGCCGCAGAGCGCCGATTTTGGCAGCATCGTGTTCGTCTCGCTCAGGCGCGTCGAATGATATACTTTTTGTCCGGGTCAGGTCAACTTGGGGTGTTGACCTCAGGACAAGGTCAGGTCAGCACCCCCAGGTCACGAAGTTGGTCGAAAGAGGTCATGTCGCATATCATTCGATTCGGCAGGTCTTCCTGAGTCCATTGGTGGCTTTCCCGACTCGCTAGCTCAATTTGATCAAGAGTTATTGACGAAAAACTAATATGACCTTGATGACGTCATAAATGACGTCACGCAAGGTCAACATTGCAAAAGTGACGCATCTAACCTTGCAAGGAGTGCATAAAATCACGATTCTGTGTGCTTGAGATAGTTGGAGATCGTTCCCGGCGCCAGAATAGCAGTTTTCATTTTTCCCCATTGACTTATAATGGTGAGGTCACGAAAATGACCTGACCTCATATGACCTTTAGGAAAAATCCGAGATATACAAGTTGTGAGACTCATAATGGATACTAGATCCTGCAAGTTTCATTTCCCTGTGACATCTCCTCTGGCAGTGAGGGCGTTGCGAAGTTGCGACATCTGAAGACCGTGCAGAGGTTCACTTATGACGTCATAGGTTAGTGACCTGACCTGACCCAAAAATGCGGTTGGTGTCAAAAGATGCGGCTTGGATCAAAGGTCAGGTATGCCAAGTTTCAGCTCTCTATTTCCAGCGTGTTCGGAGCTATCGCGAAAAAACCCTATGGGGGGGCGGCACCCGCCCCCCCCCCTCGGCCGGCGAGGGTTAAACTATGCCTTTTCAACGGAAGAGAGCAGCCGCCGCCAACTGACGTTGCAGGCTCGTGGTGCAGGGCTGCAGTGGCTGATAGTGGTATCAGGGCAGGGGCGCCGGGGGTGCTGCGGCCGTCCCCGCTGCGTTCTCGAGTGCCCTATCAGTTGACTCAGTCGGCATTGGTTGCGCCGCGAGTGTCACCGCGGCGAACGCGGCGTGACGGCGACTGTCTGACCGCTGAGAGAAATACTGGGAAGGAGGTGAGTCCACTCACAGATTGGATAGGTGTGTGAGTGTGTGTGCGTCTGTATGTGTGTCTGTGTCTGTGTGTTTGTCGGTCTGGTCTCCCTGTTCGTCTGTCTGTCCGCGGTCGGTCTCTGTCTGAGTTTGTGTAGGTATGAACCTTTCCTCTCCCCTGTTTCTGTCTTTGAATTAAATTCTGTGTTACCTCATTGGACCCATGCAATGGCTGCACTTGCGCCCGTGTCTGAGTGCGTTTGCCGTTTGCGTTTGTGTCGTGTCTGTATGCGTTTGTGTTTGGTGGAGACAGACGTTGCGAGCATTGTCACGGATAAAAAAGTTAAAGCCGTTTGATTGTCATCTGTGCAGCGAGAGAAGAGCAAAGTGAGCTGCACATACATATGACAAACTCACACATGGATGCTGGGATTACAGATGCGTGTAATAATGCCAAAAGCTGATCAACGACCGTTCCAGCTGTGCGGAGCCGCTCGCTGTTCAAGAGTCACTCGCCGGCCGCCATAGACTCCGCCTGGAGTTGCTCGCTGTCCGAAATTACTCGCCGGCCGCCCCAGACCCCGTCCTGAGTTACTCGCCGGCCGCCACAGGTTCCGTCCGGAACCCTCGCTGGTCGTCACAGTCCCCCGGTCGGAGTTACTCGCCGGCCGCCACAGCACTCCGCCCGCCACCATGGTCGACCACTATGCCGTCCTGGAGGTCTCCAAAACGGCCACCACCGAAGAAATCAGGAGCTCGTAAGTCCGATGACCGATGTCGTTAGGTAATTTATAATGGGGAATGTGGGATGGACACGCCGAATTTCGATTTTTATTGCACGCTCAAAGCCCACGAACGCTCAGAGTGTTTGGACGAATGCGAACACTATATTCTAAAATATTATTGAGAACTTCATGCATGTTACCTGTTATTACTTGTTATTACCTGTTATTACCTGATTCATTACTTTCATGCGACATTAGCCATTTTCACGACGGCCGTCTGGTACACATTTGGTGCACATCTGGTGCAGATCTGGTCAAATTAGGTTCAGTGTGTCTCTGAGTAGCTATCAGCTAGTTTTTCACTAATTGCTTATATGCCTGCTTTGCCGTATTATCAGAGAGTATCATCGATTAAAACACTAAAATAAATTCATAAAATAACGATATTTGCTGTAATAGAGATTAGGTGCAGATCGGGTCAAATTAGTGCACTTGCCGGATAGCCCGTCGTGAAAACGGCTTTTATGTATAGCCAGAATGCATGGTGTAATTTTTGTAGGTAACAAGAAGAAAAAAAAACGCGGGTACGTGTTCTTATTTCTCTATCAGTAACACAGATTTTGCAAATTATCTAAAACCGTTTGTAGCATGTCTTGTTGAACATATTTTTTCACATATGCTGTATGAGCTCCGCCGTCAAGCTTCGTTTGTACCCGAAGGTCACGTAAATTGACCTGACTGCAAAAAACAGATGACCGACGGTGACGTGACTTGTGATTTAACCTGTAAATCTGTAAATTTCTTTGATGATTCCTGAGCTTTCGAACGATGTTTGCCTATTGTTGTTATGGTTCAGGAACACGGCTGAATGGGAGTGGTCCCGAGATGTAATAGCACGTTCTGCCCACACTACTCTTTCTGAATGGGTCGCAACAGCGCGGCTAAAACATGGGATCTTAAAGTTTTTCTTTCAAATTTTATCTTATTCAGCACTCATGACCCAACGCCTGTGGCGCCCGTGGAATAGCCCTTCGTGACATTTTTGAACATTCATGTTTATAACACGCCACTTTAAGACTATTATTGCCATAAGCCGCTTATTATTGCAACTTTTACCGGGAAAAGTCCTGAATTCATCATTCCCCCGATTAGCAAGGCACGCTACAAAACAATTACATAAAACAAATGGGTTTCTTGACGAGGCATTCTGCAGTCAAGTATATACAAACACTTAATAATACAGTATGGCTGACGTCGTCGCGGAGTGCCACCAGGCACGAGCTTTTCGAACACGGGAGCTGAGACTCACCTACAGACCGTGCTGTTTTTGACAGGTTCCGCCGCCTGGCCAGGAAATGGCACCCGGACAGGAACCCCAACAACCGGGAGGAGGCGTCCAAAAAGTTTCGCCAGCTCTCCGAGTCTTACGAAGTTCTCTCCAAAGGTCAGTGTCTGCGCAGAGTGATGGCGTTTCCTCCATGATCTGACACAAGCACAGTCGTAGACTCGAGAAAATGAATGACCTCTCGTTGAATGACGTGCACCTAGCTTGATGCCTTGGCTTTCAGTAATTTATGGATTCATCAACCCTCGCATGTGTGCGGCGTTTGCCAGCTTCTAATGTGTAGGGGGGGGGGGGTCGGTTGGACCCCCCCTTGCCGTTTGGCCCCTGATCGAGCTAGAGCTTCGCGGAAAAAACGAGCGTGTTGCCCGCGACGAGAGGAAGCCGATGATACCCAATTTTAAGGTCCTAGGTCATTGGTTGACCTTCCAGGTCAGGTCAATGACCCAAAGTCGGGAAAATCGGGACCTGTTAGAAAGTCGTAAAGTGTGGCTGCTAAGGGGTTTTTCGGGGTGCTGATCACGAATATCGTGTTAGTTTTGATCACAGATGATGTCTTGAAGCATTTAGACCAGGTCGGGTCAGGTCAGGTCAGGTCAACCAGTAGGCGTCGTGATGGGTATTCGTAGTACGTGTCAACCGCCTCTAACAGCTTCGTAACATGTTGCGAAGTCACCAAAACTACTTCGTAAATGTTCAAATGGTTGCTAAATTCGAATTCAGCTCCAAAAACTAGCCTAGAAACATGTAAAATTCGAAAAAATGACCCGAGGTCACCCGAGGTCACCAAAGGTCAATGACCTGACCTGACCTTCAGGTGACCTTGACACACACGGGAGTAACATCAAATCACATGTTTGAACGTTTGAAACCACGAAAAGCTTGCAAACACGCGGCTAGTGCGAGCCGACATACGCGAAATCGCGATTCCGGCCAAACATGGTCTCGGAAAAGAGGTCACAGGTCAAAGGTCATTTGGGTCAGGGTCATGAAATTTTCAGGGTAGGTGTAAAATTGATCAATGCGAGGGTACTGAAAGTTTCGTCGCGATCGGCCGCTTTTTACGCGAGTTATTCGCGAAAAACCATGGGGGGGGTCCATCCGACCCCCCCCCTACACATGCGAGGGTTAAAATACAGAAACAAGTTTGATATTGGCGATCCGAAACATTAAGCGACACTTCTTGCATTGCAACGCTGCACGATATTTTCACTGGAATTCGAACACTGAGACGTTGCACGATGTTTACACTGAGATACCAACCAAAATTCGAAACGGGTCATATTGTGTATTTTTTCAGTTCATGAAAATTTTTATTTTGTCTGGACCTGTATACTGTGTGTGTCTTAGTCCGTTTCACGCAGGCTGAAGAAGAAAAAAGAAGTCTTCCGAAAGCTCTTGATCAATAGGAAGCTGGTGTTTCAGACCCCTTAATCCGCGCCCCACTAGCGGGGGGGGGGGGCTCTACAAAAGTCAAAACCTCCCCCCAGTATTTCTGCAATATCTTCTAAACCGCCCTATACGATGAATACCAAACTTTCAGTACCATCGGCTCCATCAATTTGACATGTCAATATAAAAATTTCCTAGCTGCCACAGCATATCATACCCGCCTTGACACCCGCCAAAGCGGCTAACCTGCCCTCAATTGGCTGCCCTCAGGCGAGAAGCGTCGAAACTACGATCGTGTCCAAGACCTGACAGGCGGCAGCGGGCTCGCTGAGAGCGTGCGAGTCGTTCTTGGTGACGGTCTAGGGGGAAGTGAGATGCCTGGTAAGCAGTTGCGAAACATTTTACTATTATAATCACTATTTTGCATATCGCGGTATTAAAAATATAATTACATGAGACTGTAAAGTCATATTTAAACCCAGGAATGGTAATAAATCGTTTAGCGGACTGACTGGGTGGAAAGAAGCTATTTTAGCCCTGTACAGGGTGTAACGAAATTATCCGGACATCTATTTTTTCGCCATATCTGCTCGCACAGTTTCTTCTTTAATGTGAGAAGCTGGAAAATCAGATGAATGCATACCTCTGGTATCTGCTCTCAACTCAGCAGTGACCTGACCTTGCGAAATGACTCTTGCTCTGAGTAAGAGTCGAGTCGCCGACGGGTTCATTTGATAGTTTTCGTTTAAAGGTAGTGTGCCACCTTTGAAAGATTTCCCATTTTATTTTTCCTAGGATAAGAAGCTTCTGTTTTTACCTAATATCGCAAAAAAAAAAATCAAAAATGGGCCTGGAATAGTGCCTTTTTCGCCTAAAAGTTTATCGGTTTTTAGATATGTATAACAACTGTAGTGGGCTCACCTGCAAACAGGCGTCGGGCAACAATCGCGAATGCGGCGCACTTGTGACAATAAGCAAAGGTCATTATAGTGTTACGACCATACGACGTACGGGAATGAGTTATCAGCTGTCTAATCGTAGACAACACAATGTCGAGCCTTAAACTGTAAGCCCGTATTGGTATTGTTTCTTTTATTTGGCTGTCGAACATTATTTATGGTTTGAAATATGATTTTATGTAAAATAATTGATATGAAAAAGCCGTCTTATAAGTTATGACCCCATTTCACCACACGCAAGTGGCAGAAATGACAATGATCAGCTGACGCATTTTTCTTGGCCGAAGTCAGAGCGCGCGGCCCGACGCACCACGCGTATTTGGAAATTCCGACCTCGACGAGCATCAGAAGCCAACTAACAGGCGTGTTCGAAACCGCAGGAGCTGATGATGAACGGGTTTATCGAAACTTGATTGGATGAGCGCAGAGGTCCAAAAATGTGACAACCTGCATGCCGGGGTAGGGGACAAAAAGCAATATGACATCGACCCCAATGGGACAAAACAAGGCAACAAATCCATACCCAGATACTTCAAAACCACGTCTGTTTACTATCTTGCTATCTTGAATGCAGATAGATTGATTTCTTCAAGGTTTTTGCTTGCTGGGAGAACTACGCTAGGCAAGGTTCTTTTGGGAAGAGACCAATAAAAGCCTTCATTATTTCCGTTACCGGTCAGGTAAAGTTAAAGGTTTACTGCTTCCAACGAAACTTCCTTTTTAGCGCTACCATATTTGTCCCACGGTCAACAACTGGAATCGTTTTGAGTGTCCCTTGGGGACACTTTGGGACATATTCTGATTGAAGCCTTTTTGAGGCAATAGAAGTCAAATTTAACTTTGATTTTTTAAATGTCATTTTTTAGGCTATTTTTTGTGACAAAAACAATGAACAATGAATTTATTAAAAATTCAGCTGGAAGCGATTCACTTATCAATTTCGCTATTTATAGTGCACGAAATTATGTGGGCGTAGCTAAAAATAGTTTGTAGCTGGATTAATATTAGTTGTGATATTTGAGGTCGGCAAAATACTAATATTTGAAAAAACAAATCCAAAACCAATGACTTTTTCATCTCTACATCGGGGCCGCCCGGGCAGCTCGGTTTCTTGGCGCGCGGTGGTCTTGGTCGCATGTTAGGACTCGTCGGAGGACTTTCGCCAGATTGTGGATGCATATTTTTGATATTTTTGTGTGCATTTTGCGGTTCGACTGAAAAGTTTTTGTAGATTTGTTTAGCAGACTTGCTGAGGGACTCCCAGTTTATCTAGTCACCAGTGTGTTTAATTTTTAAAAGGTCACAGCCTTTCCCTTTTTGCTGCTGTGGCAATTAACATGGTGCAACCTTCAAGAGAGAAGGTGAAGTGTGGGCTGCTTCTTGCTGATGGCCGCCCCTGCAAGTTCAATGGGCAGCAGAGACATTATTCAAGACACCTGATGTCCCAGCATCCTGGAGAACAGCCAAAGATAATAACACCACTGACTCAGTGGCTTGGAGCATCTCGCATGGTAAGTGTGGCAATTTGATAAAGTTGACTTTAATGTTCAAGTGTATCCTATTTGTAGACATCTCTAGGTAAAACGACCATGTTTGTGTGTTGTATAATGTCTTGCATTTTTGTGGAAAATCAATATTTCAATGTTTCTGAAAAATTTGACTCGTATTCCAAATCAATCCAAAATGCCTCTTACAAGTAATACAGCCTGTTTGGGCATGTCCTTATTTCAAGTGTACTCTGTTCAAAAACTACCTATATCACAGTCACTACTCACTAGTCAGTACTGGATAATTTTCCTGAATCCCTTGTCCGCTTTGTCCAATCCGTTCTCTATCTTTCCTCCCTCTCTCTCTCTCTCTCCCTCTGTTTCTGGTATCCATGCATACCTATTAATAAGGTAATCAGTATCAATTCATTTTGCTGTAATTTGTATTGATCTGTCCACCTGTCTTGGCAGCAGTATTTATTTACTTGTCTATTTCTGGTGATGTGATGAGTGACCCATCACATGCAACTTCAATCTAGATTTTTGAGAAATGACCCTGATGACTTTTTGCTTTCAATGTGCTTTCACTGTCTTTATTTTGAATGTTCATGCAAAGGGCTGGTTGGCTTTGGATCCTGTTCTGTCTCAGTTTGACATTATTAACTATATTCTAAATAAAACTCAAACTGCTTAGCAGGCTCATTGAATTGTTCTGCTTTGCAACATTTTCTGTTGCCTTAATAGCAATACCATTGCAGCGTCCCCTTTGTTTGGTGCAGGCTTAAAGCTGCACCTTATCAGTTGCAATAGCTTTGTCATGATCAATGAGTGAGGGCCAATGCACTGGACCCACACTCATGATGAAAATAAAACATTTGCTTATGTCTTGCACTGAAATGGTGAGAAAACATGTATGCTGGCATAATCATCAATCAATGCACAAATAGGTTTCTTAAATGGTGACCTTGAAATGAATCAGGGCCACAGGCTGGACAAATGCATTTTTACAGCATGAATGTTGCTGACAGCATCTTGTATATAATCAATGTGAACTCCTTGGTGGGAGCCTTGTTTCATTCTAAAATTGATTACTTCTGTCTTGTTTTCTGGATTAGGTACATTTCTGAAAACTGTTCAGGGTCCAGTGTCCACGCATCCATGTTGCCTGTTGCATGCCTTTCCAAAATGCACCAACATCAAAAACTGTGTTGGTCAAGATGTGTTTCTCACAAAAAGCTGTGATTTGCTGGTCTCCTTAGTTTTCTGAGACTGTCATGTGTGACTTGGCACGTTCACTTGACATGTGATGTCATGTCATGAGCAATGAGCATGGGGCTAAGTGCGCCAGTCATCGGAGTCCGCCTCCTCACATGACTCATGCTACCATCTGGCGGAACATTTATCTACTGTAGTTGATGGCTGTCGCCGAAAATCAGCGATGGTGGTCACATGCGAGACCGGTCTTTATTATACACACTAGGCTAGAGGCCGTGGCTTGACCTGGGATAGTAGTTATCGATATCTAGGACGAACACTGGTGGATCCAGAAAGGTGACATTTGACGCTGCGGGGGTGGGGTGGGGGTGGGGGCAGCATCCCCACATCCTGTCGTGTTAACCCGGCACCGCCTGGGCTATTTCCGTACCCACGACAGCCAGGGGGGAGGGTCGGATCCGACCCCCCCCCCCCTGTTATCTCGAGAACCGGTCGTATCGAGCCCCGCGAGGCGGCGTTCGCCTCGCGGGGCTTCTTAAGATTTTAAGATTGAGGTCAACTTTCGGGTCAAGATCAGGTCAAAGGTCAAATTCTGGGGTTTTGCATGATTAGGCTTACGGACAGGGGAATCGATAGCTGCTGCTCGAAACTCACCAAAAATGACCTCAAAGAACTAGTGAAGGTACCATGTGCGTATAGGGGTCATACTAAGTACGGGTCAAGGTCAGGTCAGGTCACGAAAGGTCACGGTTTTCACTTTCTGCTACATGGGCGTGCGACACGTGTTTTATGGCTTATTTTTCACGCCGAATCCGCTGGTAATGGTTATATGTGACCCCAAGTCACTGTGCTGGTGATAAATGTGCATTGAAAGCATAAAAAATCGTTTATTCCATACATAACTAAACGAGGGCTAAGAAAAAAGTCAATTTTCAACTTTTTATTTTTAACATAAAAATGACCTTTTCTAGACGAGCTCTGTTCCAGAAATCTAGTGGTGCCATTTGTTTTCACATGCGATGTTCATAAGTGCCTCTAATTCACGAAAATGCTTGTGACGTCACCATGTCCCAGGCTTGCTGGAGCTATTTTTTACAATTTGGGGGTCAAAAATCAACATGGAAAGTTGAAATTTGGGATATCTAATGTTCGAATAGAGCTATATAACATATATTCCTTTTTTTAGTCTCAAATTTTTGGATTTTATTAGCTGTTTTCCAAAAGATATAGTTTTTTATTTAGCGGTGAAAAACGCATTTTATGGAAAATCCGAGATAGCCATTTTAAGAACTCGTTGAGCTGCGTCTATTCATGTCCTTAATTTGCAATTTGCTTTAAAGCTTGATTTTTGGCGATTTTTTTAAACATTTACCACTTTTTGACTGAAAACGCCATGTAGTTACATCACTAAAATCGATATATCTCAAAAATTTTGGAATTTTTTTTCTTCTTAAAAATTACACAGAAGACGTCAAATTGATCGGGGATAAGGTATGGCAAGTTTCAAGTTGATAGCCTAAGCGGTTCATGAGTTATTCGAGAAAAACGGAGGGGGGTAGGATCCGACCCACACCCCAGGCGGTCGCGGGTTAAATGACTAATGCATCAGGAGGAACTTGCTTTCCAAATATTCTTAAGAATACATGCCTATAAGGTATCCACAATCCACATTCTACATGATAGTTACAAATATTCATGCATGCAGGGTTGCGGGGCTGGG